CGGATGAAAAACATTGAGTGCATCGAGCTGGGCCGGCACCGCCTGAAGCCGTGGTACTTCTCCCCGTACCCACAGGAGCTCACTACGCTGCCCGTTCTCTACCTCTGCGAGTTCTGTCTCAAGTATGGCCGCAGTCTCAAGTGTCTGCAGCGTCACCTGGTATGAGGGACCCCAGGAGGCTTCTCTCCCAGTACTCTTGCTGTTCTGCCCCTGCCCCCGCCCATCCCTGATCTTCCCCTCTCTTCCAGACCAAGTGTGACCTGCGGCATCCCCCAGGCAACGAGATTTACCGCAAGGGCACCATCTCCTTCTTTGAGATTGATGGCCGCAAGAACAAGGTCAGTGGCTGTGGGGGTGGTAGGATGTCCTTGGGGCTGAGGGCTGGGGCGCAGGCAGAGCAGCAGCTTCTTCCTGTTCAGGAGAAACACTGACTGGTCTGGCCCCCTGACGGCTCAGCCTGGCTTTATTGAATGTTCCCTATGGGGAAGATGCAGGGAAGTTCAGGGACGATGAACTAGACCCCATCTCTGTTCTGGGAGACACACGTGCCAGTGGCCCTTCCTTCCAGAGTGAGTGTCAGGAGTCAAAAGGTGGGCCACCAGGCCCCTGAGGAGGGTCTACAAGGCTCCAGAGGTGACCTTTGACACGAAGGACTGGCAGTGGCACCCTACAGGGCAGCCTGGCTGTGTGGAGCCTATGTGAGAGGCAGGGAAGCTAGGAGGTTGAAGGGCCAAGTTGGGGTGGGAGGAGTATGGGTGGTGTAGGAGTGGGGAGCACTGCAGGTTTGGGGTTTTGGTCCTCTGCAGCCTAAAAGAAGGGAGATGGTTGAGAATGAGACTCCCCCTTCCTGGACCGAGTTGTGGGTGGGGGAGGTGAGGACTGAGAGGTGAGAGCTCAGACTGGGGGAACTGTAGGTTGGGAAGAAGGTGCCCCAGGTCACTGTTGGGACATGAGGGTGGGCTTGGCCATTGGTGATGGAAAGCTGTGGCAGTGTGAGAAGTGGGCACAGGAGGGTAGTGGTGAATTTTGCTGAGTAGTGTAATTTTGCGGAGGGCACCTTTCAGGTTATTTTTTGGTAAATTTTAAGTTGTCTACTTCCATCATAAATGGCAGCCCAGCTGTCAGGAGCTGTGAAGCTGGGGTGGTGTGGGGAGTTGCGGTGAGGCTGTTGAGATGTCTGACCACCAGGGGTCGCCCAAGCAGAAGCCACAGCCTCTCTCAGGAACCTGGGCAGGGTCTTGACTTTATAGGGACCACCTATTTGTTGACTTAATCCCAGGGCAGTATGCCCTCCCACCTCATCAACCCACAAGAACTGTAGGGAGCAACAGGAAGCCTGCCCTCACAGGGCTGGCCAGACCCAGTGGCCACACCCAAGGCAGGTTCCAAGGTGGTGACAGGTCTTCTCTTTGGCAGAGTTATTCCCAGAACCTGTGTCTTTTGGCCAAGTGTTTCCTCGACCACAAGACGCTGTACTATGACACAGACCCCTTCCTTTTCTACGTCATGACGGAGTATGATAGCAAAGGTTTCCACATTGTCGGCTACTTCTCCAAGGTCAGTGCTCATTGGCTGTCCCGTCCCACTGAGCCAGGTCTCACCCCCCTCTCCGAAACTCAGTATTCCTCTTCCCCAGGAAAAGGAGTCGACGGAAGACTACAACGTGGCCTGCATCCTGACCCTGCCTCCCTATCAGCGCCGGGGATACGGCAAGCTGCTGATTGAGTTCAGTGAGTACCTGTGCCACACACATACTGAACCGCTGGCCACACACCTCTGTGGTCACCCACAAAGCTATGCCAGGTGCCCGTTAGTCCTACATCTGGCTGTGCAGGGAACTGTACAGAAACGGGTGCGAACCTGCCAGGTCCCTGCCCCTCAGCCCCCCAGGGTCTCTGGCCGGGTCCACCCAGCTTCTCTTCAGTCTGACTCCCTGTTCCTGCCCAGGCCACTTGGCAGAACTGTGGGGTCACTTGTGCAGCCGTGGGCCACTGAGTCGGGACAGTCCTTGGCCAGGGCCAGTGTTTGTTTCCCATGGCTTCCAGGTCTTGCAGACACTGGGCACGCACAGGGGTCTCCCTCTCACGCTGATCTAAGTACCAATACACGGCTCTGACCCTTGCTCCTTGCTTTCAGTGAGGGAAATCTGAAGCCGAGGGCCCCCCCAATCCCTCTTCACATACTCTAGCCTTAGCCTCAGCCTGGCTGCAGTCACTCAGCATTCAAACAGAAGAGCCAACACTAGGGGAGGGGAGGGCATGAAGAGCTGTAGCTGCTAGGCAGACGTGACTGACTGGGTCAGTCACTCAAGAACTAAATGATCACTGATGACATGATGGCCAGCTGGAGGCACCGGGACACTCTGCCTCGGCGCACCACACTAAGGCCTGAGTGTAGACGGATGCAGTCAGCTCTGCTGGGCCCTGGAGCACCATTCCAGGGAGTTCAGGGCAGCACACTTCCACTTATGGGTCAGGGTCCCTGTAGCTTAGGAGAGGAGTGTGGCCCCGCTGACCTGTGTAGACCAGGTATGTGTTGAGGGTCCCAAGTGTGCCTCTGCATCTTCCAACCAGCCTGGACAGCTGGGGCGGGGGCACAAGAAACTGGCTGAGGAGGGCCCACAGGCTCATCGCTAACAAGAAAGCAGAAGGGACAGAAGTCGTCTCCTCAGGGTCGCAGACATCCTAATCCTTAGGAGGGAGAATGGGGAGCAGGCTCTCGGCTCAGTCTGCCCATGACCTGCCTGCAGGCCCGTCTCCAGCATGCAGTCACCTGGCTGTGAGGAGGGGCCTTTCCCTTGCTTGCCAAGTCCTCAGCAGCCACTCAGCTGGCTTTGGGACACAGCACACCTAACTGCGGTCATGGCATGGAGTCTGACTGGATCAAGAGAACTCTAGCATCCTCAGGTCTGGCCCAGAGAGTGGGGGCACCTACTGCCCCCTTCTCATGTCTAGACCCAGCAGAAAATCTGTGAAGGCGGCCAATGAAACCTTTCCTCACACAGGCCACACACTCTACCCTACCTCAAGGCCTTTGCTGGCCTAGCACTTCTGCATCAGCTACTCAGGATATTTAAAACACACACACAAAAGCCTGATGACGCAGTGCTTAAAGTGTTCCACAGTGAATCAAAGGGTTGGCGGTTTGAACCCAGTAGCTGCTCTGCCAAACCTTCACTTTACCTCTGTCAGCCTTGTGGGTAGGAACTGAACTACCTACCAGTCAAAAAGCTTGTAGTTGAATACACCAGCTACTCCCAGGGAAAGATGGGGAATCTTTTGAGGGATTTCAGCCTCAGAAAACCGGCTAGAGGGTCCTAAACTCTATGGCAACATGAGGGAGAGAGTTCTACATGACAAAGACACAGCAGTCTACACCTGTTAAGACTGGAAGCCCAAGAAAGCGGGTCTACACTGCCTGCATGGTAGCCAAGTCAGAAGGACTTGACAGTAGGTGGTTTGATTTTTAATCTGTACAAAAAGCTTCTGCTGCACTCAGGACACAGTAAAGGTCAGCAGGTGTCCGCACTTGGCGTGTGTGATTGTATGACAATTCAGTGGACTGGACTCCGTTATAAATCACTTATGATGAAACAAACAGGCCACACACCTGAGCTCACAAATTAAACGGCAGGGCCAGGAAGCTGGCCTCTGCACACCATGCTCTAAAACGTTCATTGTGTTAATCCAGGACCACTTACCCACCCTCCCCTGCTGTTACTTCAGGCTATGAGCTTTCCAAGGTGGAAGGGAAAACGGGGACTCCTGAAAAGCCCCTCTCAGATCTTGGCCTCCTGTCCTATCGAAGCTACTGGTCCCAGACCATCCTGGAGATCCTGATGGGACTGAAGTCAGAGAGCGGGGAGCGGCCGCAGATCACTATCAAGTAAGCCTGCCCAGGGTGCATGGAATGGCCTCCAGCCTTGGTTTGCTCCCCTCTCCTGGGATGGTGGGCAGAGGGGGACCCCCCAGAGACAAAACCTTTGTCCTTGCACAGTGAGATCAGCGAGATCACCAGCATCAAGAAGGAGGACGTCATCTCTACTCTGCAGTACCTCAACCTCATCAACTATTACAAGGTATCAGGGCTGGGGGCTTGGGGAGGGGGGCACGAGGTGCAGCACTGCGGGGGTGCTTACCTGCCAGCCCCCTGCCCCCCACAGGGACAGTATATCCTCACACTGTCGGAGGACATCGTGGACGGCCACGAACGGGCCATGCTCAAGCGGCTGCTCAGGATTGACTCCAAGTGTCTGCACTTCACTCCCAAGGACTGGAGCAAGCGGGGAAAGTGGTGATCGAGCCATGCCACAACAGAGCTGTTAGAGGAGCCGAAGAACCGGGTGACGGCACAGCCACCCCACCAACCAGACAGGGGTGTGAGGACTGCTCAAGCAGGAGAGGGCAGGTCCAGGAAGACCACTGGTGCCAACACCAGAGCCAGCTCAGGACCCAGGCCCTGCCAGTCAGCTGGCCTCAGGCCCAGGCCTGCTCCAGACCAGGCCAAAACAGGGACCAGCTGGCAGCCGTGTACAGTGGGGGGGGGCTGGGTCGCTGCGCAAGGAGGACGGAATGGCTGTGAAACAGTCTTTTGTAAAGTAGGAGCTGAGGGGGGGGGGGACCGGCTATAGAATTCTGGCCTTCCTTGCCCCCACCCCCCCAATAAATCGTATAGGCCAGAATCCTGGGCAGTTTCGCTCAATAAGGGCGGCGGTCAGGGACACAGGTGCGCACAGGCTCAGGCACGTCCAGGAGCTCGTTTATTGGCGGAGGACAGTGGCTTTTCACGCTGAAGCTCCCTGGGGTCTCAGTCCTCGGGCACCTGTGCGTGAATCTGCAACATGAGTCAGAGTTGCCTGCTGCTGCACTTGAGACCCTGAAACCCTTTCCAGACACCCGGAGAACCAGGCAGGAAGTCCTTTATCGCGTCTAACCCTGTCCGTCACATGTCTAAAGCCCCAGGTCCACTCCGGGTTAACACTGGGGACCACAGACATATTTGCAAACTGCAGAGAGGCGGCGGCTTCAAGGCCTGGAAGGGGGGCGTCCGTCCTACTCACCGCGGCAGCGAGGCTGGGCCAGCTCAAGGCCCCCAGCACTTTGGCGTCCGGGCCGGGGATGGTCTCCAGGCCCCACAGGTGGAAGCGGGAAAAACTGGCAGTGGCCCCAATAGAGCGGTCCTGGGGAGGGGTCCGGCTCAGCGTGGCAGCGGCGCGCCCCCGCCACCCCCTCCAGCCCGGGAACCCTCTGCTCACGAAGTCCCGCTGCAGCGGCTCCTGCTGCTCCCGCTCCTCCTCCTCCTGCTCCGAATTCAAATCGTGGTTCTCGTCCATCACCATCACGTACCCGGCGAGCCCGGGCGGCACCACCACCTCCTCGCCCCGCAGGACGCGGCCGCGGAACGACACCTCGAGTCCTGGAAACACAGGGCCGGAGTCAACGGGGCAACTTAATTAACTACACGGCCGGTCACCCAGGCGCGACCATCCCGCCACTTCCGGGCGGACTACAACTCCCAGGTGCCCTCGCGACAATGCCCACGGAGGAGCTCGTGGAGCTGGCGAGGGGCCTGCCGGGAGCTGTAGTCCATCGTAGTGCTCACCGCAGGAACGCTGGCGGATGGCCGGTGTAAAGAAGTCCTCGACGGGGGCCTGTCGGCTAGCCTGGACCTCGCAGGGCAGCAGGTGCAGCGTGGCGGGGACAGCGTTGTGTAGCGTGGAGGGGCGCACGTGGATGCGGTGTTTCTCGGTTACTTCTTCGTCACCGCTCTCCATTCTCCGAATGTTGTGAGTCTAGTCTGTCTCTGGCTGTTGGCCGAAGCTGGCGCGGAAAGTGCGCACAGCCTGTCGGGAGGTTGGGTAGTCATCGTAGAGCACTATGGGAAATGTAGTCTTTTACTTGAAGGTCTTCTGCCAGTCCCTCCTCCTCCCTTGAGTTCAAGTCCCAGCTATATATATCCCGCATCCGCCCCAGTGTCTATGCATCCAGAGTTATTTTGTTGTTGGTGTGGACTGTCGAATCGGATCCGACTGGCACAGGAGGAGAGTGCCCCTCCTCCAGCGGAGCATCCGGTGAATTAAAACCAAAGTTATTTCTTTAAGTTATGGTAAAGTGATAATAAAATTGTCCCTTTAAATGATTTTATTAAATTTTATTTTAAGAACATTTACAGAGATTTTGGGTTTCCATTTCATTCATTGTTGCACTATTTTCTCTACCCCCCCCAGTTCGTTCCTTTTGTTTTTTCCCCCTTGAAACTCTGTTTTAATTGTCCCGTTGCCACAGTACTTGTCAAAGCCAGTTCTGATTAATCTCCTTTGTCAGTGTGTTCTTTGCCATTCCCTATCACTCCTCCCTGAGAGAGACTTCACACTGATTCATAAGGAAAAGGTGACAGCGTATTCTCTTAGCTACTTCCTGCTGAAAAGGGATGCTGTAGGTTTCAGGGTGAAGATCTCTCACTACTCTAAAGGGCCCCTTTGGCAATAGGAAACACGTAGACTATTGTGAAGATTGATTTTGTAATTTAGATACACTGTTATCAGTTGTGCTTAGCCATACATGTTCATATCCTTGAAGATGCATCATGGAACTGTTGCAGCTTAGAAGATACAAATTTAACTGAAAGTTAAAAGTACATGAGTCAAAAATTAAAAGCAATAATATTCCAAGTAGAGGTTCTAACAGTGGCACAAATCAAGTTACAGAGGGAAGGTAGTTCTTAAAATAAAAGGCTTATTGGCTAGCACTTTGTCTATTATAGTATAAAGGTTAGGAACCACAAGATGTAGAGGCTCAACTATGTCATTTATTGTTCTCACGTCCTGGACCAAATTCCATCTACCACTGGGTTGTTTTACAACTCGGAAGTCCGCATGCAAGGCAGAGGTGAAGTGAGGAACTGCTAATGAGGTTTTCTGTCAATTCCAACAACTAAAATAGTGAGAAGAGTTGGGACCTCAGAAGGCTTTTAGGACCAAATAGGCTCTTTTGTCCAAGAGAAAACAAATATACTTAACAATAATGTTAACGTTCACCCACAGCTCTTCTGGGAGGATAGAAATCATTGAAGCATTCTCCTTTGTTTCCAGCTGGGAGCTGGGGTCTGTCAGTCCTGTCAGCCACGAGGACCTGATGTGGGCCGCCCTTGGCCAAGTGTCCTTCAGATCCACACTTAAAGCAAGTGAGTGGGAGCTTCCTCCTTACTCCCTTGCCTATCTGTGGTTCTCGTCTATGACATTGTCTACTGAAGCGGCCCAGCTCTCCACAGTGGAAGCAATTCTGACCTCCTTTATTACCTTTGGGTGGCACTGTTTATTAGTAAGACTTCCTTTTCCTTTTAATAATTTTAAGTGTAAAGTTAAGTGGCATTAATTATGTTTCCAATGTTGTACTACCATCAGTTTTGGTTTCCCAAGTTTTTTTATCACCCCACGTAAAAAACTCTTGCCTCCACTGACCCTCATAGTGACCCAGTGAACAACAGATCTGAACCTTGCCCTGTTCTTTGCCATACTTTAGATTTCCACCATGCTCCAGCCTATTGTTAAAGTCACTGTGTTGGTCCATCTTGTTGAGGTTTGTACTCTCTCTCTCTGACCCTCTACCTTTCCCAGCATAAGTCTTTTCCTGAGCACTGGCTTCCCCTGACAACATGTCCAAAGTATGAAAGACATAGTTAAACCATCCTTGGCACTAAGGTTGCACTTCTTCCAATAATCATTTGTTCTTTTGACAATCCATAGAATTGTCAACAAAAAGACAATAAAATAAATAAAATGACACCACAATTCTTCTGTCATATTAATTCACTAATATTCAGACGCATAGGAAGTAATTGAAAAGACCATGGCTTGGATCAGGTGGCTTTAAAGTCACATTCCTGCCCTTGAGCACCCTGGAGAGGTGCTGACGACAGGTTTTCCCAGTGCACTATGTCTTTAATTTCTTCCCTTTCAGTTTTCTAACTCCAGCTCTTTACATTTCATTAGAATACTTTGCCTTGTCTTCTTGAGCTGTCCTTTGAATCTTCTGTTCCTTTCTTTTTCATCAATGTTTCTTCCCTTTGTTTCAGTCTTTCTACATTCTCACATGATTTTCAGAGTCTCTTCTGACATATATTTTGGTCTTTTTGTTCTCCCCTGTCTTTTGTAATGACCTTTTGCTTTCTTCATGGGTGATATCCTTCATGTCCTTCCACAATTCATCTAGTCTTCAATCATTAGTGTTCAATGCATCAAATCTTTTCTGTGATTGTTTTTAAATTCATATGGGACAGACTCAAGGTGTGATTTTGGTTCTTGTGGGCTTGGTTTTTGTTTGTTTTTTCTACTTCACTTCTTTTCTTCTGGGGTTTGGACTACCTGCCGCCCAGCCACCATGCCTTCTGACTTCTGACATAACATGCACAACACAGTCCTTCCCTTGAGTAGTTGAGGCCTCCTTCTACTTCATTTTCAACTTGCACATGACTAGTTGATGAAAACAAAGCCACAGTCAGCCCCTGGCCTTATTTTGACTGCTGATGTTGAGCTTTTCCACTGATTCTCTCCACAGATGTAGTCAATCTGATTGCTTTATAGACCATCGTTTGAAGTTTCTGGATATATACTTGCAATAAAGAATTGATTGTACAAAATTCTATCATTCTAGCTTAGCATCATTTCTGTCACCAACTCTGTATTTCCAACTACCATTCCTTCTTTTTTGTTTCCAACTTTTGCATTCCAGTCACCGTTCTTATTGATGCACCTTGATTGCATATTCCATCAATATCAGACAGTTACCACCCATGGCAACAACAGTCAAGAAAGAAAAAGACAACATATTGCATTAGGAAAATCTGTTGTTAAGCACAGCTTCAGAGTGCTAAGGAGCAAGGATGTCAGTTTAAAGACGAAGATAATCTTGGATTTTATCCAAACCAATCTTTTCAGTTGCTTCCTCTACATCTGAAAGTTGGACAATAAGGATGACAGAAGAAGAATCGATACTTTTGAATTGTGATTTTGGAGAACAGTAGAGAATATCCCATGGACAGCCAAAAGAATAAACAAGTCTATCCTGAAGGAAGTGTAACCCGAGTTCCCCAGAGAGGCAGGGATAGGGAGATCTTTGTCTCCTGCTCGGGGAGGCCCAGTCCTTGAATAAAACATCGTGCTGGGAAAGATGGAAGGTCAGGGAAAGACAGAACAACCCTCAAGCAGATGGATTCACACAGTGACTGTGACATAAGTATAGCAGGGATTGTGAGTTTGGTACAGGATAGGGCTAAGTTCAAATCTGTTGTTTAACACGTTGCCACAGATGACAGCAAAATATGTTTCTAAGCACGGTCGTCAATTTAAAAGTGTGCAGCATCGTGTTAAATGGTCTGTGAGTCATAGTTGACTTGATAGCATTAACAACAACAACAACAATTGTCACGGGTGTTGATTATGAAGTCAAGCAAAACAATCTTGACACCTTCAATCTTTTCTCCATCTGTCATGATGTTGCCTGTTGGTCCAGTGGTGAGAGGTTTTGTTTTCTTGCTTGATGTTGCAGTGAAACCCATATTGAAGGCTGTGGTCTTGGATATTCTTCAGTAAGTTCTTGAAGTCTTCTTCACTTTCTGCAAGCAAGGTTGTGTTATCTGCACAACCACAGATATTTCTTACCATTGCTCATCTGTCAGTTTGTTTTTTAGTATCACACATATTGTTCTGGTGCTGGAAGCTGTGCCCCTGGTATTTCACGTACCAGCAAAGTTACTTGTGGGTGGTCAGGGAAGGAAGGGAGGGAGGGAGGGAGGGAGGGTCAGAAGGTCGGTCTGGCCCATTCGTTGCTTTATAGATCACAACAACATTGCTTCCTATAATGCTGAAGATGAGCTATCAATTTGGAAGGCACAACAGATATTACAAATATGTTCTCTCATTCTGTAGATTGTCTTTTTAACCTCTTAAAAATGTTAATGCATAAAAGTTTTCAATTTTAATAAAGCTTTATTTATCTATTTCTTCATTACCTGTGCTTTGGGTTTCATATTTAAGAAACCATTGCCACATATAAGGTCATGAAAACATTCCTTCTGAACTGTAGTTCTTTGATTAATTTTTTTTTTCCCCTGTGGTGGTGTAAAAATGGCTTGTTGGAGGTGTCAGACATCCTTGTCTAAGTTTACAAGTGGGGAGAATCACCACCATCACCATCAGCCCAAGGCTGATTCCTATGAGGTGGAGGTCATATATGCCTCCCTTCCCTACCTTTTTACTAATTCTGACTCCATCCATCCATTCCTGGGTACGCTCTACTTCTCTGCTGGTTTAGATAGTTCTTTGTAATCACCAGCCTGTACTGGGTGGTTCTTCATTTTGTGATCTGATGTGATTATCCTCTATTCTGTGTGTTGTAAATCTTGACTTATGCATTGATGCCCTGCATGCCCAGAGGCATGTGGATCAAATCTACTCTGAGGGAGAATAAGGATGGGCAGTCTCCTCCCGCGTGATTAACTGCTTCCGAAAACCCACCAGAGGGTGAGCTATGGATGCGTTGCAACTTGCTGGTGTACAGTAACAACATATGTTAATGAGGCAGGATTACATCATGTAAATTAGGGTTTGGTGGGTCTGCTTTGCTGATGAGGCAGGATTAAAGTAGGATACACTTGAGTCACCACCCTTGTTTGAATTTTGTCTTTTATAAGAGAAAAAAAGGAGAAGTAAGCAGAGAAAGAGCTGATTATGGTTGTTATGTGCTCATAGCAACCCTATGTACCACAGCCCTAAAC